TTCCACATCTGGACATGCACATGTGGTTTTGCATTTGGTTTTTGTATCTGGCAAATAGGGTCAAGTGTTTCTTGAACACATATTGAGATCTTTGTTTATTCATATGTGCTTACTGTGTTCTTTCTTCTGACTATCCAATGCCAGATGATTTCTTCTGGCTACCCCTCAATGGGAAATAATACAAACTGTGATAATAACTGCAAGGATAATGTGATTAAAAAAAATCTCTGCTCCTGTCCCAAACAAAATTTGCACATGGTGCTCTATACATCTCAAGACTGTAAGGCAGAGAATGTTTATGTCATCCTGTGTTCAGTAACAACAACCACAGAAGCCTGTCCTGAATGCTGTTAGATATAAATACGACATCCCTGTATCAGACATTTTCAATATGGGGCTCAGTCAGGTAGGGTTGCTGGGGACTATTGCCCTTAAAATCCAGCTATGGAGGAGGGAATGATGCCTCTAACATTTGGATACATCTCTTCATTATGGCAACAATATGGTGATAGCTTCTCTACCCACTAATGATGGGGATGTGAGATCTCCGGATCCCTAATGAGAGGTCAAGAAGGTAGAGTAACTCTCATTTTCCAAGCCCACACAACATCCAATTAGATCAGTGACTCTTAACTGTTTTAGCCTCAAGGCACCCCTCAGAAGATGATAACTCTTAGTTTTTACTCATTTTTGACTGAAGAAAAATAATAGAGCAATTATTTTGTTGCAAAGAACTCAGAAACATCACGAGAGATCAGAATGTTTTTAACATTATGAATTCCCATCTGAAATCTCTAGGTTTACCTTGTTTATCATGTTTAGCACCTAACTGTGCTAATATTGTTTGGTACCCCACAATACCCTAGAAAGGATCTCAAGGCACCCCAGGATCCCATGGACAGGGACAGACATTACACATAAACTGGTTTAAGTGATCAGAAACTGGTCTAAACCTGTAACAGAACAGACACTCAGTGCACATAAACCAGTTTGAAAATGGCTGAAAACCAGTTTGAGATAAACCTGGTTGAATGTAGTATCAGACTTAACTGATTTGGCTCAAACCAGTTTATGCAATATCTGTCCCAGATTTTCTCGGTATCTTGGCATGCTCTCTGGGCTGAGCAGGACTCTCTGCTCCCCAGCAGAGCAGCCCCCTCCCCTCTGCTCCCTGGCTGCAGCTCCAGCAGAGACTTGCAGGCAAAGCAGGGTCTGCCTGGCTTCCCTGTGCCCCCCTCCCCCATTCTCTCATCACTCGCTGCTTAAGTAGAAATCCCTTCCTCCATTCTCCCACAGCACAGACTGTAGCCAGCATGTGGTATGCTAGCGAATGCTGTGTAAGGCAGATAGGACAGTGTCCGCTTAGGGCTTTTTGGAGCTAATCAGCAGCTCAGCTGGTAATGTCCCTGCATTCCTTCCTTTGGAAAAAGCTGTTTAAAAAGAGCTTAAATAATGAGCAAGGCATTGTTTTCTGATGGGGTGCTAAATGCTGATAACAGAGCTGATAAATGCTCTGTTATCAAGGGGCGGGGGACCCCTCCCTAATCACAGTGTCCTGCCAGGGCCTGGCCATGCCCCCTTCAGCTCAGCCCTTTGGAAGGGAAGGGAGGGCTGCTTTAGCGCCCCCCAGCTTCTCGCCTGAGCTACTGCAGGCAAGCGCCGGCATTTTTTCAGTCCAGAGGGGATGTCTGTATGGTTACAAAGTCATTTAGCCTAGCCAGGTTAGACTAACCTGCAAAGATTGAATCAATTCAGGCTCAGGGTTTTTGAATGTCTCATCCTAGCTCATGGTTGAGAATCACTGCATTAGATTCTGTAAGAAAATGAATGCAAAGCAATTAATTCTTTGACCAATGCATTTATACAATATGCATCCATATGAGCAAACCACTTTATTATCAGAAGCTGGAGCCTCCTTTTTGTTTTCATACATACCCAAAGTGTGAATTCATATGTAGCCAGAAGGCACTGACAACCATAGGCAGAGGAAGGCCGGGGCTAACGGGGCTTAGTGCCACTACTATTTGTGCTGCTGCAAGCATAGACCCCTGCTTGTCTGGACATGACCAATGGCCATGTCCACATGAGCATGGATGTTTGGTTCCCTGGGGAATGCACTTGTCCCTGGGGACTGCCTGTGCCACGCGCCATCTGGCACACAGCAATCCTACCACTTGGAGCCTGGTCAGCAGCTGGAGCATGGCTGGTTTGGGACAGCGTGTGCTGCCTCCGTGTGCGTTGCTCCGTCTTTTTTTTGTACAAGTTTTTTTGACCCTGGGATCTCCTGGGGTCACCCAATGTCACCATCCGTCCCATCCCAATTTCACCATCTACATTTGCATTTAAGTGCAGTAGTTTACTCCATCGTCAGATAGTATCTGTATCTGATGGGACTCTCCAACAGTGCTGTAAATTAGTCTTCATCAGCCCAATTGCTGTGCACGTGTAGATGACGATGCTTTACTGCACAGTAAATTAGTTTACTGCACAGTAAAGCACATGTGTAGAGACGCACCTACTAACAGCAAGTGCCACTGGATTAAACTCTTTTTGAGAAAACAAAGTATCTTTGAAACCATTTTAAATAAAAGTCCTCCTAGAGACCATAGAAAATAAGACTTCAAGTGTTTTTGAAAAGCTTAGATTAAGAATTTTTACCTGCCTTGAAGTGTATAAAGTCAAGTCTACCTTTTAGGAAAATAAATCTAATATGCCAGTTCATTAAGATGATTTCATTTTAGCATCACAGATTCTCTCTCTCTGTCACACCCCCTTTCCCCCCACATACACATACATATGTATATATATTTTTTCTTTCAGTGGCCATCTGTAACACAACAAGACATTATTATTATTATTATTATGTGACCCATCAAGACTTCCTTGGCCATTCTGTATCTCAGAAACTGATATTAACGGTACAGAAATGGAGAATTTTCAATGAAGAAAAGTAGTGTGAATGTCTGTTTTGTTTGCTTAATATTTGTCTCTTGTTTGCTCTTCAGCTTCAATTCTGACCTTTTCATTTTAGAACCTAAAATAACACGTCCTCCCGTAAATGTAAAAATAATAGAAGGATTGAAGGCTGTTCTGCCATGTACTACCATGGGGAATCCAAAACCTTCTGTATCATGGATCAAAGGAGAAAATGTTGTAAAGGTGAGTAGAGAATAAACCTAAGAAATCACTACAATATTATTTAAAAATGTAACAACACACCTTTAACATCTTTCAGAGTGTTTGTAAATTCTATCTTCAACAGCACGTAGAGAGTTCCCAAAATCAGCTAGTAGAAATTAGAAGATATGGTTTAGGAATATTCTTCTAATAAACTAAAGGTTTTCTGTATTTCTCACTGGTAGATCTGGCCTAAAATGGTAAAAAAACCTATTTGTGAATATTTTAATAAATGTACCAATGTGGTTTGAGATTGTCGCTACCCTTTTAAAGTTATCTGGTATTTGCAAAAAATTGGGCAAGTGGCTTGAACAGTGAAAGCCAGGTAATGTAGACAAGAGTATCTGGTTCTAAATTCCTTAAGATGTAGGAATGTACAAATAATTGTTATGTAGAAATTAAGATTATTTCCAGCACCATTACATTATTCAAGAACTATCTTGCTCATTCCTGTAGGAATGTCTTTTGTATGAGGATGTTGCAAAAACTACTGTCAATTATGAAATAAAACTCTTCTGTGATCATTTACTAGGCCATATCATTTTTCTACATAGCTGTAAACTATGCAACGTAGCTGTAAACTATGACTGCATGCAACAATGCTGCTGCCATTTGAGTTTCCCACTTTTGTAGTTTCCCACTTCTTGCAGACATATAACATAGGCAGTCATTTTGCTGTTAGTTTTTGAAGTACCCTAATAGTTGGAAATTTGTGATTGCATTACTATGACATGTAAATTATTCATTTTCCCTTTCCCAACCCCTAACCTCCTGTCTGGCAGGAAAATGTTCGAATTGCAGTCCTTGACTCAGGGAGCTTAAGGATTCATAATGTTCAAAAAGAAGATACAGGGCAATATCGATGTGTAGCAAAGAACAGCCTTGGCGCAGCCTATTCAAAACCTGTAACAGTAGAAGTGGAAGGTGAGTAACCCTCATAGCTGGACTACTGGCATTTGAATATCCTTCACACATGGGCTTCTACAATATGTTAAATTAATGGGATGTAAATGTTGTTATTTTGAATAGCCTATGTTAAACGAGACATAGATGACTACAAAAGGGCAAAAACATAAAAGCTCAGTCTAAGAATACCTGCTCTGTGTCCATGACTGATGGAGAACTGGAAAAAAGAAAAAGCAGATTAACACACATCAGGCCAAATCCTGCAGGACCTTTGGCTTCATTGAGAATTCTCCTTGAGTGAGGATTACAGAAGTGTTCATGTATCTTCCTTTTCTCATGTCTGCCCATTTTTGATATCTCAGGTCATGCCTCAGTGTTCACAGCCCCCTCAAACCCTTTGGTGAGATGAAATATTTCCATG